CCGTGTCTTGGTTTTCCCCCCACCCCAATCTCTCTATCTGTGCTGGGCTCTTTCTCTATTTCCTCTTTGCAGCACAGAATTTACAGTAAAAACACAGGAAGCTGAATGATTTCCTCTGAGGAAAGTACCTGAGGGAGAGGTGAAGGAGCAGAGTCATCATCAGGCCCTGTGAGCCATCCCTGCCCGTGCAGCGATGCTTTCAGGTGGCTGCTGCCTTGGAAAGAGAGACATTTGAGATGCTTTTCACCAGGTCAGGCAGGAGGATTGGCTTTTTTCCCTGTGGCAATCCCAGAAAAGGGGAGTCCTGGATCTGTGCTTGGTGATTTGTGAATAACAGGAGATGTTTATCTGTGCGTGATGCTGCACTTTGTGCACTAAAAACCTCTCTAAGCACGGTCACTCTGCCCACAGTGGCTGTGGGGACCTCTCTGGGCATCCAGGGAATGTGAAGATGGCCCTGGGGAAGGACAAAGAGGGCACTTAGGGAGGGACAGGCACATTTTTAGCTGCCGTTCCAAACCACAAGAAGCTGAGCTGGGAAAGCCAAAGAGCAGCACTAAGGAATGAGAGCTGGGCCCCCTCCATTGCAATACCCCTTGGAAAAACTCAGCCCAGACTTTCAGAATTTCAGAGGTCTTGGAAAGGGGACTTTTGCCCTAAAAAAACCCCAAACCCTTATCCTCAGTGTCAGCTGAAAGGGCACAAGTGAGTAACCCTGCAGATACCATCTCAGAGAGGCCGTGAGCTCCCCACGCTCCACGAGTGACTAAAGCTGGATTTTTCAGCTGAGTGGGCCTAAATGTAGGAGTGGAAGGGATCCAGAGATGTTCTAGCTGTGTACAGCCCCAGCCTCTTTATTTTGCAACAACTTCCCCTGTCCAGTAAGTCCTACCCCCTCCAGGAAACCTTCCTTCAGCTTACAGAGCTGTTGAAATGCCTGTGTGTGGTTACATTTTCCTGCTCTGGCCTCCACTCAGGATCTCATTTCCACTGCAAAATGCAACAGGCCTGATTCATTTTGCAGCAGGAACATGATTGATGCAAGCCCGGATGGAGACTCATTGTCAGCCCTGTGGAAATTCCTCACCAAGGCTGCAAGTCAAGCGAAAACCTCACTGTACAATCACCAGCTTGTGTTTCTACTCCTAAAGCTTTTGGGATGGAGCCAGGAACAGCTTGTGAGCAGGCGAGGGTGACCCAGAAAGCCAGAGCGGTTCTTGCATCATCTTTTATTCTGGTTTTGTCTTTTGGTTTTTTGCTTTTTTTTTATTATTTTTTTTATTTTTTTTTTTCTGAGAATCATCTTTCCCTCTCACCTACACCAACTCCTTCACCTTTAGATTGAAGGCCTGATTAAGGTGTGTGTTTTTCCAGGGCCCTCTAAGAATAAAAAAATCATCTGTGTGGTTCTGAGCTTTGCTGGCAGTCTCCTGCTGACAAACCACACCTTGTTTATCAGGACCAACATATGTTGTACAAACACAGAGCTGCTGGAGCTCTGCAGGCTGAGATTTCTGTACCTGCTGGGGAACAAAGGACATTTTTTCAATGAAAATGCTAAGGCAGTGCTCAACAGGGGCTCCAAAGCTGCTGGGGGGGTTCATGTCTCCGTCCTTATTTTCATTTTACATTATTTTTTCCCACTTGCAATTAAATAAATTTGGTCAATTCCCTATGTTTGTAACTCTCTGTGAAGAATTCCACTCTGCCTTGAGCTCCTGATGGAGGGCAGAGAACCAGCAGCAACCAGCCAAGCACCATCTCAGCAATCCCAGCTCCCTTCCAGGGCCCTGGGTCGTCTTTTTCTTATCCCTGGAAACCAGAAATAAGAAGTGGCAAGGCACCTGTGAGACTGATGCCACCTCCTTGCCATTTCCTGGGATCAAGCTGCTGCTTGTTGATGACATCTAAACATTTCTGCTTTCCTTTCTGATCAAATTCTGTTAGAGAAGGTTCAGTGGGTCAAGCACAAAGAGTGCTGAGAGGAAGGAGAGGAAGAAGGAGAAAAAGAAGAAAAAAAAAACCCACAAATTAAAAAAGGAGCTGTCCCTTCAGAGTTTAACAGCTCCCAGGATTAACATGGCAGCTGCAAGAAGGTTTTTCAAGGCTGCAGTTTTGGGTTCAGGTAGTGAAAACTGAGACCAAATGAATATCAGGGGCAGTCACTGGATCTCTGTGTACTCAATTTCTTGTTTTTCATGCTCTCAGTTACGCTCAACTGCTCTTAAAGCAAACAAAGCCAAACTTGTAATTTTGATTGAAGGGACATCCTTGGGCAAGAGAGATGGGAAATTTGTGGTTTTGGTCACAAATCACTGGGCTACTTGTTCACTCCTGCAGGCTCAGGTGAGATTCCCTGACCTCCTGGTGACATTTAGCCCAGCAGAGGTGAGATCAGTTCCCTTGGCTGGAATTGCATCAGGAGAGGAGCTGCACCCAGAGGTGATGCAGCAGATGTGGGCGCTCCAGCTGAGCTGACACCCAGGTATTACTGTGGCAGAGACAAGAATTTACAGTATCTGTCATCTCCCACATCACCCTGGAGTGCTCTAATCACTGTACACTCATGCCTGGAGTCACAAACAGCCACATCACTCAGCAGTCCGAGGCTCACAAAGTGCCAGGGGATTAAATAACATGAAAGCCACCATCAGCTTCAGCTTCACTCCAAATTCTGCATCCAGCTGACTTTTGCCCACCTGGCTTGAAGATTTCTCCTCACCCAAACTTAAGTAAGAAATCCAAGCTTGAAATCTTACTCAGACTTGTAGTTAAGGTTAGGACAGTGACACTGGAAAAGGAGTTTTCCATCCATTTTTCTCAAAAATACCTCATGGATACAGTCCTAACCCCATTAAACCCTTCTCATGCCCCCAAATATCCCCTTCAGTTCCTTTAGGACCTTAAATCTGCCTGAGGGAATATTTTTTGAAGCCCTTCCTCTCCTGCCCCCTTGAGGCTCCCAAACTGCTTCATCACATTCAGGACGAACACCAGCACTGAGGTTTGGCAGGTTCACGAACAGATTTCAAATCTGAGCGTGTTTTGTAACTCTTCTCACGAGTTACAAACAAGAAAGGGGGAAAAGCCAGTGAATTCCTCTTCCAGGAGCCCGTGATGGAGCTGCTGGTCCCAAATCAAGCTTGTGTCAGCTCTGAAGGGTGTTTTGGCAGCTCTGACTCCGAGGATTTGCCAGCTTCCCTCTCACAGTGGGGATCACGGAGAATACCAAGCAGGGCATCTGTCAGTGAGTAATTACAGGAAATATCATCGTCCTTTTGTGCAGGGTGGCTGAGTCTTGTCTGGGGCCAGGCACAAACCTCAGCCTGTCTCCAGTAGCTCTTTGCAGCTGCCAAGGTAAATGACACCCGAGGCAGAGCCAGGCAGCTCTGGGATGTTGCTAGAAATGAGGAAATCATTCCATAAATGTCACTTCTTCCCCTGACTATCTGCAAACAGACTGCAGGAGCTTTCCAGCTCCCAGAAACACGGATCCAGTGCCATTTCCTAATAGCTTGGAAAGCATCTGGAGAGCAGAGTGTATTTCTTTATTACTGGATTTGTTCTCCTTTATGCTGCCTATCAGTTACTGTGATAAACACCAAGAAAGGGCAATTAATTAAAGGGAATTCATTTAATATAGTGCTTCCAGTGCTCTGGAGGGTCAAAGGAGATTTATGTCCCCCGTGCAACACAAACAATGTTCAGGAGTGTAACTTCAGCCCGGAGGGAGGCAAGAAACATTTACACAACAAAACCTATGCAAAATGCAACCTGGAAGTAGGGCAGAGAGACTGGATTAAAACAAGAGATCTTTTATTGTCTTGAACTGCAGAGTGTGATACAGAGGAACTACATGGATTTTTATTCATATTAAAAAAAAAAAGAGCCCTTTATTTACACAAGTGTTCAAAGCTGCCCATGGTACCTAACAACAACTCTGGGTTCTCTTTGTTTTGCTTTGTTAGTTATTCCCACCTAGACGGAGCAAACATTGGTCAGTAACACTTAGAAAAACATGGAAGTAGCTTTTGGGCAGGAAAAAGAAAATAAAAATTCTGTTCTGAAAGAACCCAAATCCTCACGGGCATTTCACTGTAACAAAGCCACCAGAATAATTACAACCAGTCACTGACAAAAGGAACAGTTTTCAGTCTGGGCTCAGCACTCTAATTATTCTCAGTCTGTCTTTATTTCCCCACCTAAGTAAATATATCCTGGACATGCACATACTCCACATGGATGAAAAAAAAAAGTAGAAATTTATTTAAAAGTAATTGTGCTTTTATTTATAAAAAAAAAATTTACAATCAGACACTGTCCTGCTGTGTTTCCAAAAGCATGGTTCTCTTAAAAATGACAAAATGTAGCTTATTATTATTATCATTATTATTATTATTACTTTGTCTTTATATTAATAATATTAATCTTATGCTTAAATTTAAAAACAAACTGCTTTCCCTTCCCATTCCCTCCTTCTCTGTGGTACTTGATATATATATATATAAAAAAAGGCATTCAAACCACCAATTCTTTTCATTTATTACTAATAATAATAATAATAATAATGATAATTAATCTTACACATTTCTGTGTGTAAAATATGGCTGGTTCTAAAACAAACTACCAATGTACAAAGCTGTTCTCCCTCCCCTCCCCTGGGCCACCCAAGAGATCGTCAGACATCGGAAGAACTTTATCCCAGACGCTTTCTGGCAAAAAAAAATTAAAAAAAAAAATTTAAAAAAAATAATAAAACAACACAGAACCCTTGAGATCGTTGTCTTTGGTGTGGAGGACGTTCCTGGCTGGCAGCTGGAGCTGCTCTGCTGGAAACTCTGGGATGCTTTAAGGCTTTTTTGTTTGTTTGTTTGGAATGCTGCAAAGCCTCTGTCGGGCCACGGGTCACCGATGCTTTGGTACCAGTCCCAGCTCCTCACACCCCCAGGCCAGCGATGCCAGAGGGTCTCCCCACACCCCCCTCTCCATCCCCTCTCCATCCCCTCTCCATCCCCTCCCCAGCCCCTGCCCGCAGCCCCCCGGGGCTCTACGCTCGCTTCCGCCGCCCCTCCAGGTTCCGGAAGCTGGAGGGTCTCAGCTTCATCTCTGCAAACTGGATGGAATACTCGTGGCCCTTCCAGTGGAACCAGTTGACGCCCTGTGAAGGCAAAGGTGAGAGGTGGGAGGTCACACTTTCACTTGTTGGCCCTGATTCGGACTGGGGATGGTTCTGATTTGGGCACAGAGGCACCACGAAGTGGAGGAGCTTTGGGGAGCACAGGGGCTGTGGAATATCCAGCCTGTACAAACTCACTCACATGAGGCCACAGAATCCTGGAAACTCACAATGGATTGGGCTGGAAGAGCCTTTAAAGATCATCTTGTTCCACCCCTGGTGTGGGCAGGGACAGCTTCCACTATCCCAGGCTGCTCCAGACTGGCCTTGGGCACTGCCAGTGATCCAGGGGTACCCTGTGCCAGGGCGTCCCCACCCTCCCAGGGAACGATTTCTTCCCAATATCCCATCTAAACCTGTTCTCTGTCAGTTTGAAGCCATTCCCTGGCTCCTGTCCCTCCATCCCTTGTCAATTGTCTCTCTCCATCTTTCCTGCAGCTCCTTCAGGCTCAGCAAGGCCACACTGAGCTCACCCTAAAGCTTGCTCCCTCTCCCAGGGCTGCTCCATCTGCTCATCCCAGCCTGGATTGATCCCAGGGCTTGTCCTAAACCAGGTGCAGCTTCTTGAGCTTGGTCTTGTTAAACCTCTGTCCCTCCTGGCCTGGCCTTTGTGGCAGGAAGAACATTTTTGTTTCACACGTTGAAAACAGCAATTATTCCCTGCACACTTGGGATATTCCCTTGGAAAATCAGACAAAGCCAAAAAGATTTCAGCCGCTGATATTAAATTCTTGTTTTGTGAGTGACTGCCCGTACATTTCCCTATGGAGAGTGGGAGGAGGGGATGCTGTGATTTTTTGCTGGCTGAACCATCAGAAAAAACCCATAGCTGCAATTCCCCTTCCTGTCACAGAGAGAAGCCTTCAGACCCAAACTCACCTGACTGTGGCTGTTGTCACCATATCTGCCCATCAGGTTGACTCGGTGACAGTTCTTGTACCAGAAAGCTCCTTTGTATGACAGAGCACAGTTGGTGATGGCAGAGTCGTGGTCCTTGTCAAAGGTGGAGAAGGACCTCCCATTGTGGTAGGTCATGGAGTCACCTGGATGGGGGGGACAAAAGAAAGAGCAAGCTCAGTGGTTTGCCTGGTTTACATTTCATGGGTGTGCCCATTCTCCAGAAAATATTTGGACCGTGCCATCAGGACCTGTCTGCATCAAACTTTTTAAAAATTGTTTTAATACAGAAGGAAAGGCACAATTTTTGTTATTGCAGGCAGGTCAAAATATTTTTTCAGGTGGTCTCTAATCCCCAATATATGAAGTGGGGTTTTTTCATGCAGCTCAATTTCTGCATTTCTTGCTAAAAGCTGGATTTTACAGTGTGGACAAGCCAAGACCAAAGAGATGCTCATGAGGAGGGAATTGAGACCAAAGGAGTCTCCACACTGACTGAATCCTACTGAAGGTAGCAGCTGCTACTACTCTGCACCAGAGAATTTGCCTTAAACCATAGAATCATGGAAAGGTTGGGGGCTGGAAGTGACCTTAAAGCTCATCCCATCCCACCCCTGCCATGGCAGGGACACCTCCCACCATCCCAGGCTGCTCCCAGCCCTGTCCAGCCTGGCCTTAGGCACTGCCAGGGATCCAGGGGCAGCCCCAGCTGCTCTGGGCACCCTGTGCCAGGGCCTGCCCACCCTGCCAGGGAACAATTCCTGCCCAATATCCCATCTAAATTAAATAGACATTAATTCCACTGCTGCATTTCCTTTGTATCTCTTTAGTCTGTGTAAAAGCCCACACCCACACCTCTGCTCTGGTTTATGCACCCAGCAGTGTGAAATTATCTCCTTTTAAGACATGTTGTTAAACTGGATTTATCTCTTAATCCTTTGGAGACCTGAAGAGGACTCGCCAAGGGCTGCAGGGTTTGCCCCTGTATGATTACAAAAGGCAGATGATTTGTTCAGGAAAATTATAAATCACATTACAAAGCGGGGCTTCGCTGCAAATTCTACTGACAAGAAAAGAAGCTGTGCCAGGCTATTATTGGCTGTATAAATGACAGCCGAGATTGGCTAAATTCGATATATTGTGGTTTAATACACTTGTTCCAATCCTGCCTCAAGCAGGCCGTAAAATACACCACCAAAACACAAAACACATCGGCACCTTTGATTCCCAAACGCCTCACACGGGAGAGGCACCTGCTGACCTGCAATATTCATGGTATGGCTGCAAATGTTACGGCTGCCTTGAGCTGGAGGAGGAGGAGGAGGGGAAGAAATCGGTGTTTTGAGGGAGGAAAAGGCAATTTTTGGTCTCACCCGCCGTGCCGCTGTAGCCGTCCACCCGCAGGCGGTAGCGGCTCTTGGCGTCGCCCACGCTGAAGCGGTCGTACACCGCGTAGGCCGCGTCCCCCTTGTCCCTCAGGTCCACCCGCAGCTCGTACTGGCCCTGAGAAGTGATTTTGTGCAGGTTCTCCAGACCTGTGGGTGGAAAGGGATGTTTTGTCTCCATGGAGAATGATTTTTTTTTTTTTTGTGTTTTTTATTTCTTTTCTATATTCTCTGTGCTCTTTACGCATCTGTTTGGAGCTCCGTGGCTTTTCCCTAGGCACAAAGCTGAAACACGTTCCTGTCGCTAGGGGACATGAAGTAGGAATGAGGGTTCAATACTACATCAGCAGAGGTTTTATTTCTAAGGAGGTAAAAGCTTTTATTTCAGTGTTTTCAACCCTTTTTATAAGGTGTTCCCATACAGGTTAACCTGATTGGTACAAGGAACAACACCTCTCTCACCCCATGGGTGGAACAAGAGAAAAACATTCAGAACATCTGTGTCATTGTTTTGAGAATTAAAATCTTATTTACACAACAGTCCTTGAGAGAGAAAAGTTCCCAAAAAGTTCCCAAAAAGTTTCCCAAAAAAACACAGAAAAAAAAGTTTCCCAGAAAAACACAGCTCAACCTTTGAAAATGTGGAGGTTTTACTTCTATTATATCAAAATGTGAGTTTATGACTTCTGCTTGTCCTGCTTTTCCTCTCTAGATCATCAACCTTTGCTGTTGGGGTGCCCCAGGAGGCAGAATCTGCTCCCCAGGCCAGCTCTGACTTCTCCCAGAGCCCCAGTGAGCATCGGGTGGGTGCATTTGGTGACCCCAGCATGGCCTGAACTGCAGTTGGAGGGACTGGCTGGGCCTGGCCATTCCAGCCTCCCTCACAGAGAGTGTCCCCAGCTCCTTTTCTCCTGTTTTCCTTTACAAATACTCCTGCCAGCTAATAGGAGGTCTCTAAGTGTCTCCTGGGCTTTTGGGCTGTGTTTGTGTTTTGTTATTTTTTTTTTCCCAAAAATACAAATTCTTATCTATCTTACCTATCCAGAATTCATCCTTAGGATCTCCAAACCCTGCCACGTAAGTATTCCAGTTCTTGTAGAAATCTTGCTTTCCATTCTGACGCCTCAGGAACACCTAAAAACAAGAAATGTTATGGACAGACCGCCTTGGCCAGAGGGAAAAAGCTTTTACACACACAGAGCTCAGCGTAGCTCCTGCCCTGCCTTCACCCCTCCCAGCAGAGAATCACTGCAAGGACTGAGCTGCACCCAGGCTGTTGGATGCTCCATGTGGTTTTTTCAAGTCTCCAATTTCTCTGTTGGGTTCCCAGGCTCCTCTGAATGATGTGGCCTCTCAGTTCCTGCTCTCTGTCCTTTTAATCCCATCCTGAAGTTCTGGATGTCTCATCCAAGGGTTTCTCCATCCTCTCATTTCCCAGCTAAGAGCATTCCTCCAGCTCCTCCTGCCTTTCTGTGCCCGGGGTCCCTTTGGCAGGCTCAAATTTGGGGATGTCAGTGTGGAGATGTGGCATTTTACTGCCATTCCCTTGCTGTCTGGGTGGGATGTGTCCTCTTGCACAGTGGCTCTGGAGGCCACTGCACCCCATGGCTGCTGAGCAAATGCCTCCCCTGGGCTGTGCTTTAACCTCCCTCCCTCTCTCATTCAGAGTCAGTTCACCCTCCCCTCTCCTTGCTGATTATTTAGAATATTTGTTATCCACTATGATCATTTCAGCAGCCCTTACAGCAGCGGGGAGGGACCAGGGCTGAAACCAGGGCTGTGACCCATCCTTTGGAGACACCTCTCTCTCCTCCAGCTACAGAAACAGCCCTGTTCCGGGCAGTGGAGTGTCCTAGCCAGGATAAAACTCCCCAAATGTATAGCCAAGGCAGCCCTAGTGTGACAGCAGCACTCTGGGGATGGCTGGGAGGAGCAGGGATGGGATGAGCTGTCCCCATACTCACGATCCATCCGCCCCCATCCTCGCCCATGTCACAGAACACTTGCAGAGGCTGAGCCTTGTCCCCGTTCAGGTAAATTGTGTAGAGCCCAGAGGTGGCTTCTCCATTCAGCAGGGCCTGGGAGCAGTCCTTGGGGTAGGGATAGAGGAGCCCAGCTGCACAGACAGGGAAGAGAAAGCATTCCTTAGGAAATCAGCAGGTACAAGGAATGTGTCGAATGCAATGAGTCAGGAAAATCCCTCGAGGGGCAGCTACGGATCCCAGGAACAGGTTTGTAACTGCATCCTGCATACAGAACATCCACAGGATGCAGCTGATGAGGTGAATTCCTCTTTTGAATGTGCTTTTTCACATCTGTCTAACCCTCCTGGAAATGCTGGGAATGTGAGATAATTACTCCCTGCTAGGATGAGAGTGCATCCTCCAGCTAAAGACTGAAATTCAGGAGCTCTGTTACAGCAACTTTGGGGAAAAACAAATCTACCAAACTCTGATCATGTGAAAAGGGAGGGGGAAAATACAAAGACAGGACTTCAATCAGAAATAAATTAATTGGGAGTGTTTTGCTAGCAAGGGCAATATTAAATGTGTTATAAAGGTACACTTCTAAAAAACAAAGCAAACAGCAACAGTTGAAACTACAGGGAAATGTTGTTAAGCTTTTCTTTCTGACAACAAGACAGTAAAATCATTGCAGTCAGAACAATTTCTAATCCCCCAAAAAAGCTTTGCTTTTTTTTTTTCTCTTTATTCACTCAGGTCATTAACTTTTTCAGCCAATTAAATGCTGTTCCAGGTAGTTTTTACTGTAGCTCTGTAGCTTCTCAGAGTGGCTGCTGGCCCTTGCCAGTGTTGCACATCCCTGCCTGTGCTTCAGCCCCAGAGAATTTCACAGAATCCTGGCATTGTTAAGGCTGGAAAAGACCTTTAAGATCAAGTCCAACCATTAACACAGTCCCACCATCATGCTCACCACCATGTCCCCAAGTGCCACCTCCACAGGTTTTTTGAGCCCTTCCAGGGATGGTGACTCCAACACTGCCTATTCCAATTCTTCACAACTCTTTCCATGAAGAAATTTTTCCTGATATGGAACCTAAATCTCCCCTGCCATCAGCTCTGGGATTTGGAGAAAAGTGACAGGGGGCTCCTTCAGTGTTTCCCTGTCACTAAACAGACACAAATGTGTTTTCAGAGTTACAGCCAGCCTTAAGCCTCTGCCTGAATGAGTCTGACACTGTTCACATGGCTGGAGGCACCTGGACACTCCCTGCTCATGGTCAATTTGCCAAACATCATTAAATACACCCAGATTTAATTAATCTCCTATTTCTGGGTGTGCTGGTGGAGCTCCTGCTGCCCTGCACAAGGACAGCCTTGGGGCTGGGGGACTTCTGGCAGTCCTTGGGCTGGAGTTGGTGCCAGCAGCAGGAGGAGGAGTGGAAATGATTGAAGGTCCTGATGGGCCTGAAAGGCTGAAAACTGGGAAAAGTGAGACAAATGGCAGGCAAAGTGTCACAGCTAATACTGAACAACTTCTTTTTTTTAAAGTCAGCTGTGAAGTGACCTTCAGAGAAGCCAGTTTATCCTTGCAGAGCTGTCCTGTTGGGCTGGAGCTGATGTGCAGAGGGGCTTTGAGACAGCCCATCTCAGAGAGAGGAGAGAAACCTGCCCAGAAATCCATCTCCTCACCCCAGCACTGATCCACCTGGGCCTTTGTGGTTTGCTTCATTTCAGCTCCAAACTGGGCTTTGTGGTTTGCTTCATTTCAGCTCCAAACTCTGATTTGTTTTCCCAACTCATTTGGATCAATACAGAAGGAAATTAAGGTGCCAGCTGGATTTTAAAGAATTCCTGCTGATATTCCACATGGGGAAGGCAGGATGTTTCACCAGAGAAAAGCCTGTGAGGGTGACGTGGATGGATATTAGTATTTCATCCTTCCAAGGGAGAACAGACCTGGGGATGGATTAAACCTTGGTGTACTGCGTGGAGGGGCTCAGCTCTGCCAGGCTGTAGGAACTTGTCCCACGGTCTAGGATGACTTCCTACAGAGAAAAGAAATAATACAGTGAAATCTCAGAGAAATAAATCATAATGACCAGAATGGTTACATATTTTAGTCTGTCACATTATTTTTTTTTTCTCATAATTATTGATGGTGTCTCTAACCATCTAGATTAATGAATATAAAGCTACTCTTCTAAGGTTTTTACCAAGCTAATCTTTCAAAGTTCAGTAAAGCCTGCCTGGAAATGAGTGTTTACCATCATAATGTACAAGCTGGGGGGTTCAAAAGCAAGGAAGCATAAATGTTTGCATGCCCTGAACATACAGATTGTGAAATTCATAAAAAACTGTGAAACTCGTCCTTTAGGAGAAGTAAATGTTACACTCCAGGCTTCAAAAAGCTGGAACTGAAAGACTGATTTTCAGTGTGCTTGGGGAATTTGCCTTCCTGAAAATCAGAACTTTTCCTGATGTGCCAGGGTGGGCATCAAAAATTTTAGTTTTGCTGGGATTCCCCATATTTGTATTTAAGCATTTAGTGCAATCTAATTATGTAGGAACAAAATAAAATTATAGGAGAATAAGAGGCACTTCCACAGGCAGTTCCTTCTTCCTTAGCCCTTTGCACAGGGATTCCCCTGGGATTAGAAGAGGGAATCACTCCTTTGGGGGTGTGAGTTCATTCCATGATTGAGGTCTGGAATGAAGGAAAATGTTTGTAATTTAATTTATATTAAAAAAAATACTTCAGGCTGCAATGGAGCTTCTGTTTCAGGGTATAATGTAAAAAGTCCCTTAACAGGTTTTAAAGGCATCTGTGCTCAGTCTAGCACTGAAAGAGGGGAGCCTCATTTCCTGCAGGGATATTTAAAAAAAAATCAGAAGACAGAATACTGAGAAAAATATTGAGAAAATATTGAAAAAAAAAAAACCAGGAGAGAATGTTTTTATGCTTAGAACAGTCTGGAACCTGGGACATGTGAAGTCCACATTAATGAAAGGGACAGTTAGTATTTTTAAATTGTTTAAATTAAATTGTTTAAATTGTTTAAATTGTTTAAATTAAGGCAGATTATATTGCATTGCTGGACACTTCAGAGCATCTCCACTGCCCAGATTCGAGGCACAGCCCCTGATTTATTTACCTTGACGCTGCCATCGATGGATTCATAGATGAGGAGATATCCAGTGACTGGAGCACGGGGAGGCCTCCAGTTTATCACAGCAGCTTCTGACTGCACCTCAGCAGCACTCAAATCCCTTGGAGCATCCAGCCCTGCAGGAGGCACCACAGCAATTACCATCACATCCACACAAAGATAATTCCACAGGGCCATACATTAAAACAAGCCAGGAAAACAAACCTCCTCACCGGAGAAATTTGAAATAGCACTCCAACCTAAATTTTGTGGTTAAGAATTCGTTCTCCCATTGTAGTTTAAAATAAAGGTGTCAGCTTTATCTAAGTTAAAATACTGGCTTGTTCCAGGCACTTTATTTTATGAGCAGTTGCACGGAAATGGCTTTTGAGACAAAATTGTGCATTTCATTACTTTTCACAAGAAGACAGACTGGCATTTACTTATTCCCAGGAAGTAAAACTTTGGTTCCAATGATGCTTTTTTTAGATTAGGAAAACTTTTTAGAATCGGAAACCCTCTTAGAATAGGAGACCTTTTTAGAATGGGAGACCTTTTTAGAATGGGAGACATTTTTAGAATAGGAAACCTCTTTAGAATAGGAAACCTTTTTAGAATAGGAAACCTTTTTAGAATAGGAAAACTTCTCCTGCTTGGTCTGGCTCCAAGCTCCAGCTTCCCCTCCCCTCTGAGATTATAGGACTGGATTGTTGTGGCTCCCTAATTAACACCCTGAGACAAGCCAAGCCAGAAAAATGAGAAACATCCCTGGTTTTATGGATGTCCATGGAAAAGCAGGATTATGAAGCCAAGTGGGCACCTTCAGCAGCCAACAGCAGCCCCCAGGTCAGAGCTCAGCTGTGTGTGAGAACCTGCAGAACTGGTGACAGAAAACCACCTGAGCAGCCACACCAGGCTGGTGCAAACACCACAGAAATTCAGGTTTCCAGTGAACAAAACACCAGAGGAGCACAGAGCAGGTGGGACTGGAAGGGATGGCAGCTGTGGGTGGCACCTGTGGTGAAGTGGGTGGAGAGGCTCTCGCTCCTCTGCGCGTCCTTCTGCGCGTGGATGCTCAGCGTGTACTCGGTGGCGGGCTGGAGACCCTTCAGGTCGTACTCCACCGTGTTCCCCGAGACCATCTGGGTCACTTCTGGCTCTGGGAACAAAGCACAGGAGAAAGGAGGTGTTGATGTCATTCAGACACCTCGTGCTGTGCTCAGCTCCATGCTCCACTCATTGGTTTATTTTATTTCTACCTGGTGCAAGTGCAAAATAATAAAATCCCAAGCCTGTGCTGACACCTCTGCTGGGTCTGGGTTACACCAGAGCCCTTTCTCTAGAAGTGTGAGCTCTCTCTAGTGTTCACAGGAATTATAACAGCGCCTCTGCTCCCCAGGAATCTCCCTTACTCTGTTCACGGCTGAATGGAGAGTGCTGAAGTAAAAAGTCAATTTTTAGATGCTTTCAGCAAATCCTCTCCTCCAAATAACTCCCGAGGCTGCCAGAGCTCCAGGGATGCCCAGGGTGGGATGTTGGGGGGTCTGTGCAGGTCTGGGAGCTGGGCTGGGTGATCCTGGGGGTCCCTCCCATCCTAATGGATAATTCTGGATATTCTGTGATTTTTCTGGAGTTACAATGAGCACCCTTCAGCTCCCCAGCCCATTCCCAACTCCTCTCACCTTCCTCAGAGGAGTAGGACACCACGTAGTTATCCACAGCAGCAATTGCTGGCTGCCAGGTTGCCAGAGCCTCAGAGTCTGTGATGTTCACCACTACCAGGCCTGATGGGCTGTCCAGAGCTGGAAGAAAACCAGATTGAAGGAGTTTGACAAACACTCTCAGCTCTGTGCAACACTCTGCTGTAAATCCATGAGAGAAAATGCCCAAAACTCAGTGCAGCTTTTATGACTCCCTTTGGAATGTTGGATTTCTGCAGGAAAGATGTCAGTGCCTATGAAGAGACACCAAAACCTCCACTGGAAAGGGAGGTCAGTGCTGGAAGAGATGAAAGTCTGGGAAGAAGCAGAATTAACCATGTTCTCAGATCACTCTTGATACCACCGATCTCAACAGCTCTGTCAAAGCTGACACATTTCTCTCAACAAGTCTGGGCTGTTTTTTAGAGCAAATTCAGGAGAAAGAGCTGGGAAAAATAACCAAAGTGACGGCAGCTGATGGTCACTGTGACCTTCCAGCAGCTTGTTTGGATCAGACCAATCCTGCAGCCAGCCAGGCATCCAAAATCCCCCCATGTCCTGCCTTGCCTCCTCACAGGACTCTATTTTTCACACAGGTTTATGCTCTCCCTGAATTAAGATGGATCTTTGCCTCCAGAACTGCTGGAATGGGTTCTAAATCTCCTGTCATTCTCCAATACTCATCACCTTGTTCTTTGCCTCAGCTCTCTGAATTTGTTAGCCCCCAAAAGGAACACAGGGAGGGGTCAGCAGGAGTAGGGGGGACCCTCATCTCCTGCAGGGATATTTAAAGAAAAAATCAGAATTAGATTTTTTTTAGATTAGAGACAGAATACTGAGAATAATATTGAGAGAATATTGAAGAAAAAAATCAGGAGAGAATGTTTTTATGCTTAGAACATTCTGGAACCTGGGACATGTGAAGTCCACAACAGAAACTGAGCTGAACTGCTCAGCTGAGCTGGCCCTTTGCCTCCTCATCTCAAAAAGGCCATTAATTAAAAAGAGAACAAAACTGGTTTTTTTTCCTGATGAATTAGAACTGTAAATACATTCATTGTCTCAGTCTCACAGGTTTAGCATTTAGCAAATGGGAGCCTGATCAAATTTTACAAGTTTCATTCTTGTGTAAAATGCAAAGACAAAGGAGTGGGAAAAAGTTTGTGTGGGCAGCAAAAATGGGATCTTGGTGGGTTTGCAGCTCAGCTCTGGGCTGAGCATCTCCTGCAGCCCAGGTGATCCATGTAAAAAGCTGCTATTTCCTGCTTTTATTTCATTACCTGTTTTCAGGGTGCCAGAGACGGGCTCGCTTTCTTCAAAGCCTTTCACAGAGATGATGCTGACATTGTAGTCCACACCTGGGACCAACTTCACCAGCTTGGTCCTTGTCTTGCTCCCTTCGACTGTGACAACATTTGGAGTACCTAGGATGAGCCCAAATGCCCAGGGATGAGTGACACAATCCCCCAGGAAGTGCTAGAAGGGTGTTTTTAAAGACATTAAAGTCTCCATGGATGCGTTTCTGCAGCAGGAGTTGAAATTTCCCCAGTTAGTTACAATCACTGGTGTCAAATATCATTGCCATAACACCTAAATCTAAATCCCTGGTTTGCATTCAGTAAGAAGAAAATAACATTTTTAGTGGAAGGTGTCCCTGATTGTGACAGGGAGCTGGAATGAGAACAGCTTTAAGGTCCCTTCCTATGCAAACCATTCTGTGATTTCTGTCCAGAAAAATACCATTTCCCAGGCAAGGTGTAAGCAGAAGCCCCAGTTTCATCTTGAGGACAGGACTTGCAGTTTAGATCTGCCTTGTTTGTGGTGAGGGCTGGAAGATTCTCCTTTACCCCCTCATTTAGAATAAAGATGTAGTACATGTTATTTTAAAAGGTGCTCTGTGTGTGGCTGAGGACTTAGCAGCCATATTTACTCCAGATTCTGGGTTTATTCCAGGAAAGCACTTAGACAAGTGCCTAACTTTATGACTGGATTCTTTTTCTTCTGTGAGACCACTACATTTAAATCTGCACAAGTGCTTCCAGGCTATATTGTCTAAAGATCTGAATCTTTCCTTGTCTCAGGCAACAGCAGGACTTGTTTTGGTGCTGATGTCTTTAGTGCTTGTTCTTCAGCTGTTTCCCTTCAGAGAAGTCCCTAAATTAGGTTAAAAATCTGTTGAAGTAGAGGAAGTTTTGGAAGTTGAACACCAAACCAGAGAGAGACAACATTGGGTAGCACTGAGTAAATCACTGCCCTGAAACTTCATTATAACCATGGATTATGATTGCTACTCCCAAGGACCGTCTTTTCCAGTGTGCTCAGCTCATGAAGGCAGTTTGGAAACTAAACCTCTCTGAGGAGGTTCAGCAGAGACTTGTGAGGAGTGCGAGATCACCTGGGGGATGCACTGAAATTTGGGATGGCAGCCCAGCAAAGCCTTCCTGCTCCCCCTGCCACCCCCTGTCCCTGCTCACCTCCCGTGACGGGGACGTAGGAGATGCGGAAGTTTTCCACGCGGGAGCGAGGGGGGATCCAGCTGACTGTGGCAGCATTTTCCGTGATGTCAGAGAAAGAAATTCCCTTGGGAGAGCCAACCACTGTCAGGGGAGAACAGAGAACACACCACACACGAAGAAAAGGTAAATAATTTGGTTATCAGTCCTTAGTGCTGGAAAACTGATTTATCACCCTAAGGCATGAGCTGGTGCTGTCAGTGCTCTGCCCTGAACATTAATGCAGGGGGTACAAACTGAAGGGTTTTATCACAGCAACAACCTATTCAATCCAAATTTTCCATTTTTTCAGGACCACTCAAGTATTGCATAGGTTAAAAATACCCAAAGTGTAGCTTCATATAGAAATAACAGAGATTTCAGTGCTGTAGAAAAGCACATAAATGACATTCTGCTGCCCATGGGATGCTGTATTTAAGATTTATTTTTTCTATCCCAGTTTCACTTGGAGGATTTTTAGACCTTCCACTGATCTCTCTTCCTGAGTTTAAAGTTCCTAATGCAGGATGCTCCGAGGAGACCTGGACTCAGGTGTGGGAGCCCATCAAGGCTCCTCTCAAGGATTCACTGGAACTTCTGTCAGCTTCAAACCAGAGGGAACGAGATTTTCCTCCTGGACTCTCTCTCTGAGCCCATGATTTTTCTTTCAAGCAGATCCATCCAGAGAACATCCAAGTACAACCACCATGAGGAAGGAAGGTACCTGTGGCTGTCATAAAACTCCCTGTCCAAACCTGAGCACTGCGCTTGCTCATGTAAATTAAATCAGTAAGCTGAAATGAAACCCAAATTTTACCAGAAATAACCCAAACTTAAACCAAACATGTATCTGAAATGTTCAATCAATTAAGATCCTGCAGAACAAGCATGGAAAGGGATTTGGGAGGACGTGGTAAAGAGAGCTGCCACCTCCAGGTTTACATGGAGCATCCCACTTCCAATCTTTCCAGCTTTTCTGGCTGTATCCAAAACAACCCTGAGGTATTCAAAGATAAACACCACACACAGAGCAGGCCCTTGGTACAGAGAGGAGAGATCCCAAACATCAGCCACACGAAGAACACTGGAGACAGGCTGGGGGCAGGGGAAGGGGGGAAAGAGGAGGGAAAAAAATTCGGGACTGGGCTTGAAATAGCTTGGAAAGAACGTGCCTGTGGGAAAGGAGTCAGAGGCTGTTTGTTCCATGTGTCCCCAAAGCAGCAGGGCTCTAAATCAACTGAAAGGCAAGGAATGAAAAACAACTGAGCTCTGAAGAGAAATGTAAATTATGTCTCTGGAGCTCACTTGAAGTGTTGTGTTGGTGGGGTTTGCTCATGTGGACAAAGGAAGAATTACAGATAAGAAAGGAAGCAAGGTGGGGTTGGGAAAGCTACGTGGCTCAAAAAGGTGCTGCTGATTTGAGTACAGGCTGAAGGAAATTGGAGAAAATAAAGAAAATGTGGGAAAGACAGAAAAATAAAAAAATCACATTGGTTTTGCTTCACGTTATAGGTGGCCTGAGTGGCTGGAAAAAGGGCAGTGGTGATTTTGGAGATCAAAGAGATGGAGCAGCACTTGGTTTTCATACACATGGAGAATTTCAGCCTTTCCCAGAAAATAAAATCCCCAGTCCATCCCATTTGGACTCTGCTGTGCACATTTCCATGGGGCTCAGGCTTGTTTTCTGCACCAGGTGAGCTGTGTGACAAAGAGCAGTAAGAAGAGCTTTGTTGTGAGTTTTCCACACCCCAGAGTGCAGCTTTCCTGGGAGACAACCTGGTAAGAAATATACTGGACCATCAGAGCATCTGTCCTGGAATGAGTCCCAGAGATGGGAGAGAGGGAAATGAAAAAGAAGGGAATGAAATCATCTTCTTGGGCTCCTGAAAGCCAGAATTAAGCAGGCATAGAAAGCAGCCAGAGTGCTCCTGACCTGGCACTCACAGAGAACCTCAGGGCATCTGTTGGGCAGGCACAGGTAAATTATCTTTATCCTCCTGCATCATCCCCAGAGAGGTGTGAGAGACAGGGAACTCTCCTGAGAGGCTGCTAAAACACCCATGGTACTGGAGAGAGGCTATTTTTTTTTGAGATTTCTTTTTCTGCTAATTGTTCTTTCATTCCTAACAGACTAGAGGAGGATGGTCCCTGACTTTCTTCTCCCAGTCAACAGGAAGCAGCAGGTTGTGTTCATCACACACCACGAGCATGTGAAGTGTTTCACCATCATCTCAGGTAAAAAAATGCTGTCACAGTGTGGCAAAAAAACACTGGAAAAAGAGGAGAGCAGCAGCACGAGACTCACACTTCCCACAAGGATATTAATTGGGCCATAGATGTGTTGTGGTCTCCCAGTGAGAGTTAAATTGCACCTTAACTGAGATTTTACTGATAAATTTCTAAGGGACTCCAACTCTGAGAACAGCAGTGGATAAATTCCCTCTTCAGGGATAGAAATATTTCCTCACAGCCACACTGGAAATGCTATAAATATCCATATGTTTGTGCAATAATCCACTCCTAAAAAAGAAATCTGTTGGCTGCCTCGGCAGCCACCCACCCAGTGTGGTGTAACCTGCAGCCCAAATTATTTAGCTGGGTTTTTGTGGCTCTGTTATTATTCATGGGCTATTTACAGCTGACAAACATCTCTTGGGCTATTGCAGTAGGTGACATGTGCTAAATCTCCCTGGGATGCAGTCATGAGGAAAATGATAACTCTCAGTGGCTTCCCATAAATACCCTGGGAGTCAGTGAGGATGGGGACGTGCTGCTAATAAGCACAGAGGACTTGAAACATCCCTCTCCATTAGGACCCAACCCACAGGAGCCTGGCCAAGGGGGGCTGCTGATCCATGTTCTGCTCCCTGGAAGTGTCTGGGGGAGCCTGAGGGTGGCCTGGATCCTTTTTGCAGGGATGTGATGGTGGAGATGGGGCCTTTCTGTGCTTGCAGCTGAGCCCACAGGCAGCAGGGTGGAGGGTGAGGGCTCTGAGGCTGCTTCAGGAGGAGCTGATCCAACACTGAGTTGTTGCTGCCCTTTTCCTGGGTGCTGGCTGGCAAATGCCTCCTTTAGGCTGAGATGTAATTAGTCACTGAGAATCACTGGAAAAGGCTGATGCACAGACAGTATTTCTTGGCTCTCAAAGACAGTGTTTTAATTGCCACACTCTGCTGCCTAATTCCTGATCATTAAAATAATTCAATTAAACCACATTAAATAGACAGTGATGAAACTTGGGGAGCTGAGACTGATTACAAATATAACCACAAAATAACCACACCACACTGAACCAGTGACTTGGACAAGGGACATGCAGGAGACAGTCCAGGCCACCTCTGGAACAGCAGGAGCTGGCTGTGGAAAGGAGCTGCTGAAAGGAACAGGGAATGTCACACTTTTCCCACTGCAGAAACAATACCTGTGGATGCTACTGCGTTTACGGGCTGGGAACGTTGTCCACTGCTAATTCCATAGAGCTCAATCTCATATTCAGTGCCCTCTTTCAGCCCTGTGATATCCTGGGTGCGCTCATGGCCTGGCACTATCAGCTCCAGGGGGTCAGATTTCTTTTTGGTGTCCCTGATTTTTAGAACAAAACTGTTGAAAACCCCGTCATCCGCAGTCCAGGAGAGACGGAATCCATCTGGAGTCGCGTCTGAAACCAGAAGGTTGTCCACCTCGGGTTCTGCTTCTAAAAAAGGAGAAGATAGCAGTGGGGAAAAGAAATGATTTTTTAATCAGTTGATCAGAGACCTGCCTGAGGTCTGGCTATAGCACACTGCAAAAATCCGACCTCAGTTCAAAGCAAGGGGAACAATCTGCCAGCTATTAAAAAAAAAATAATGATAAATATTAGTGTTATACAGAACAGGATAAATGTGAGTGTGTGCAGCCCCATTCCAACTTTCACTCTTGAACAGCAAACCACTGCATGGACACACAGGTTTGTCTCCCACATGCAGAGTTACACATGCTAAAGGTGAGTTTCCTGGGCATTTCTCCCTCCCTACCTGTGGGACACCTTTACGGCAAATAAAAACAAGCTCTTGTTACAGAACTACGTGTCTGGAACGTTGTCAGGCCTCACTCTGCTAGGAGGACAACATAGAAGTCACTGAAAATTCTTTTTCTCCATGCAAGTCCCTTATTTTATGCACTTCTGGCATCTGTGATGCTTCTGATCCGATGAATCCTTTACTGTGCTCTTAAACAGCAAAGGGGAATCATGAAAATTCCTCTCTTAAACAGCACCCTGCAATCTAAATGCAAGAGCTGCTGCCTTTGTTTAATGAACCCATTCAAAAGGGTCCCAAGGGCTGTAAGTTATTAATTACCTGCAAAACATCTTTAACTCAGCATGGTCAGGCACCCTTACCTAGAGAAATGCTGCTGGAGTGGTTGTGTCCTACAGCACCCCCAGTGCAATCCCTCCTTCCTCACACAGCCATTCCTGTTTGTTTCCTCTCAAACCTCCCACCAAATGCAATCCTTCCTTCCTCACACAGCCATTCCTGTTTGTTTCCTCTCAAACCTCCCACCAAATGCAATCCTTCCTTCCTCACATAGCCATTCCTATTTATTTCCTCTCACACCTCCCACCAGATCCCCCCCAGCTTCACTGCTGCCCAGACAGAAATGTGCAGATGAGAGCAGATGGTTCTGGGGCTGTGGAACCAGCCTGCAGTGGTTTCCCAAGGAAGCTCAAGTGCTGCTGGAAAACAGCAGCTCTGATGTGGTTGGAAGCACAAACTGCTTTGAGGAGAGAGGTGCCAGCTTTGGGGTGGCAATGATCCCACCGTGGGTGGAACCCACACGGAGAGGGAGAGAGAGGAGGCCATGGGAAGAAGTCCATGGCTCGTCCTGAAGGTCCTGATGGCTGGAAGGTGGGAGAACGATGCTGTTGGAGAATGCTGATGTGCCCAGCTGTTAAGGAGACGAGCTCTGCATGCAGCCATTCTTCCCTCAAGACTCTGTTAGAGGTACCTGCAAGACCATAAGGAACTTTCACCCCTCAGCCCCCCACATGCTCCTTCACAGGATCCCTCAGAGGGGAAACACCAAGTTAAAGGGAACAGAATTCCACCTGTGAACCCATCAGTCACGAGGAGTTACGTGGAGCCACGATGCAGAGAAGGATGCAAAAGCCAAGGTTTGCACGAAACGTCTTCCGCGCGAGAAGGAAAGCGAGAGAAGAGAAGGGTGGAAGGGAACAATTTGCTCACATTGAAATACCTGTAACAGCCAGAGTGCTCAGGGGCTTTGTTTGGTGCCCCTTGGCAAACCCATAAAGCAAAACCTCATAGCCAATGCCAGTAATTAGGCCTTTAAGCTTCAGTTCTCTCTGGGCTCCCGAAAGGAGGAACTCCTGTGGGTCCAGCAGCTTGCCAGAGTCCACCACGACTACTAGAAAGTTGTCAAAGGCATTCTCGGATGCCATCCAGGACACTGTGAACCCATAGGGGTTCATATCAGACACTGTTAGGTTTTCCAGTGGGGGCATGGCCTCTAAAAGAAGGGAAGGTGTAAAAACACACACACACACACAAAAAAAAAAAAAAGAAAAAAAAAAAAGTGAAAAAACATTGCAAGTTAGAAAGTGTCACAGATTCCACCAAACAAAAATCACATTTTTCCCCCTAGTGTGGATTTGAGAGCCAGGATCACAAGATGAGGATTTTCAATGGAGTTCAGGTTTGAATTTTCCTCAAAGATGTCTCAGCACCTCCTCTCACAAGCTCCACAGAAACCCCTCCCAAGCTCCCTGTGTGAGCACATTGCTGCTGCTGCCCTTGCACTCTGAGGAACTTATAACCAAAACTGCTTTAGAAATGCTGCACATAAAGCTTTCATTTCTTTTTACTTCTCTCCAGCATCAGTGCTTTAGGGACAAGCCTCTCTTTGGGCGTCCACAACTCCTGTATTTTGCTTCTTGAGCTGTTTCACATGAATATCTCCAGCTTTAGTTTTTGGTGCTGGAGGGGTCAGAGGTGCCAGAACAGGAACATTAATCACTCAGGGTCACAGCCAGAGCAAACCAGCTGCTGCTGTGCTCTGCTGACAGAGGTTCCACTGAGGGGTCCTTTTTCACATCACTGTGACATTTGTCAAAATGAAAAGATGTGGAAAATGCTTCAGAATTTATCCACTAAGTCTCAGCCAAAAAAAAGCGCTGAAGTTTCACAAGATTCTCAGCGTGTTTTGCTCACTCAAAATCTGACAAATCAAATAGGAAGATCAGGTGGCTCTTCTAAGCCCTGGCTTTTATCCTGGATCCCAGGCACTGCTTGAATTTCTCCACAGTATTTGTCCAAGCTTGGCTCAGGAGCTGATCCAACCAATCTTCCAAACACTCAGAATTCCACTCACTTCAGAAAACACCACTTAGTTAAAGGCAGAACCTTCTCCTGAAAAGGGCTTTGGGTTTGCTTTTGACATTTCACAAACACTGAAATGGATTTTGTTAGGACTTGGCATAAAAATTCCCCTCTGAAGAGTTAGGAATTGGAAGTCCTTATGTAATAATATTTTTGGGTTTTGAGTACACATTTGTGTACTCGTTCTAGAGATGTTTTTTTGCATCTTATTTACTTCTAATCAAGCAATGCCCAAGATTCACATTTTGGGTGGGTCTCTGGAAGGGAACATCCTGGGACAGGAGGTGTTCCACGAGCCAGTTCTGTCTGATGAACTGCTGAGCATCAGGCAAATTTCTCCCTCAAACTTCAGGAGTTATAAAATATTATTAGACATGAGAGAAAGGCTCCAGAGGGGTCTTAATGACAGAATCATGGAATCACAGAATAATTTGTGTTGGAAAGGACCTTAAACTCATCCAGTTCCAGCAGGGACACCTTCCACTATCTCAGCTTGCTCAGAGCCCCATCTTTTTAACTCCCTTTAAACTAATCCTGCTGCTAGGAGTTTTTTATAAGTTCAACATCCCTGTCCTGACCCCAATTTGCACCAAACTTTAAACAAACCCACTGCTGCCGGCCAGAGCCGCTTTGGCGTTTCCCTGAGCCAAGAAAGGGGCTCCAGATCTCGGAGCAGGTACCTGTGGTGCCAGGAGCAGTGCGGGGCTGTGTGTGGAGCCCTGTGCTGGTGGTGCCCTGGGTGGGAATGCCAAGGGCAGGGTGGGCACTGGAGCCCCCCGGCACCGCCAGCTCCCGGCCCTCCAGGGAATCCCGCCTTTGGAAAAGGAACGAGGCCAAGGGCCCGGCTCGGGTGCTCCAGGACAGGTTGAAGCTGTCGGGGGTAACGTTTGTGAGGGTGAGCGTGCCCAGCTGTGGCTCAGCCTCTGGGGGAGAAAGGAACATTGGTGAACTTTCAAAGGCGGCTTTGCTCCAAGGGGTGGGGGAGTCAGCAGAGGGGGGCTGTAGGTGCTCAAAAAATAATGTTTTAATGTTGTTTTGTTGTGGTTGAATAAAATAAAGTAAAATAAAATAAAGGTATATAAAATAAAGTAAAATAAAGTAAAATAAAGTAAAATAAAATAAAGTAAATAAAATATAAAATAAAATTAAATAAATAAAAAATAAAATAAAATAAAATAAAATAAAATAAAATAAAATAAAATAAAATAAATAAAATATAAAATAAAATAAAGTAAAATAAAATATAAAGTAAAATAAAATAAAATAAAGTAAAGTAAAATAAAATAAAATATAAAATATAATAAAATAAAATATAAAATAAAATAAAATATAAAATAAAATAAAATAAAATAATAAATAAAGTAAAATAAAATAAAATTAAAAAAATAAAATCAAGTAAAGTAAAGTAAAATAAATAAAGTAAAATAAAAAATATATAAAATATAAAATATAATAAAGTAAAATAAAGTAAAAAATAAAATAAATATAAAATATAAAATCAAACAAAATCAAACAAAACAAACCAAAATAAAATAAAATAAAATTTGTTTTAAAAAGCAGCTTTACAAGAGCTATTTTCTCAGGTTTTGGAAAGAAGCCACTGAAATTAGTGCTGACTTTTAATTCATATTTTTTTCATTAAATATTCTAAAATATACTCAGTTTGCCTAATGAGAGGTGGGTGTGGTTTACAGAAGCACCAACAACATACACATACAAATTGGGGGAATTCCACACTGGGAATTTGATGGGAACACAGACCTACAGCAATTCCAAAATAGAGAAAGTAGGATTCAGGCAGGAATCCTTGAAATCACAATCCAGGTTCTGTTTGGTGTTTCTGTTGCCTGGAGTTGCAGATACTTCTATTTTTGGACCCTGAGGTTTATGAGGGATTTCAGGCCTAACAGGGATTATCTCAGCACTAATCTCAGGCCAAAACCTCCCTGGACTCCACAGATAAGGTGTTCCTCATCCTCTGATTAGGCACAATCAGAGAATGCCTAATGAACAATAAACCCCAGAGCTCTGCTCTTTCTCTCCTTCCTGACTGTTCAGTGGTCAGGGCACCTCCTTAAGAAGCAAGGACTTTCCTTTTCTGCTGGAGGAAATTAAAATTCACATCACTGCCCTGCCAGGACAGCACCTTGTCCTTCAGGAGAGGGAGAGCTCCTTACCCATTCTCTTTTAAACTTTTTACACAAAATCATTAAAGTTTCATTAAAGCCCAGAGAGAGAACAAACACGACCCAACAGTCAGAGGGTCAGAGAATCCTGTGTTTGCTCTCTGGGCTGGTCATCTATTTTTTATGTTGCCAATTGAGTAGGAACCAAGAACACCTTGGGAAATGCAGCCAGTGAGACACAGAAAAATAATGATGGGAAAGTGATCCATGCTGGGAGAAAAGTCAGAGAGAGGCATCCCACCGACAGAGAGTGGTGAAAGAGTGAAATCTTTTTCTCTGCTAAAACAAAACCGCTGCAAGATGTTCCAACTTTTAGTCCCATCCCTCATTGCAAGACTTTTAAGTAATAATCCATCTGGATTTTCTCTGGAATTGTTTGGGAAGAGGTGAATGGAAGTGGCCCCGATTAAGGACACAGATGGCACAGATGTCATGCTCTCAACCAGTGACCATGGATGCCTTCATGGCCAGCACAGAAAGTGCCACCATGGTGCTCTTGAAGACAGGCAAGGAGATGAGAAAATATCCACAAAGCAAACAGGCGTGGATGGAACACCCAGGAGAACGGAGCCCTCAGCCCCACATGCAGCTCAGAGAGAGCAAACGGAGCCTTTCCAACCTCGTCCTGGCATGGCCACATTCCTTCACATGCCACCTGCATCCACGGTCAGGCACATTCCCGTCATGACAGCCTGACTCCCGGGAATGCTGCATGCAAAATCAGCTGGAATCATATCCTCAGGCAAGTCTTAGTGATCTCCTGCCATCCTGGAATCACCACCACCACCAGCACGGGAAAACAAGACAGGCCCTGGAGGCTCAAAGGGAGCAGTGCACGGAACAGAGTGGTGGGCTGGCCACCAAGAAAAGGGGAATTTGGTTTTTGAGCCCTGCTCAGTGCTGACAACACGAAAATCCTGGGCAGAGATCGTATCAGAGCCAGCAGAAGGTGGCCAGACCACTCCATGCAGTTTGGGTTGGTCATTTCACATGCGGCACGAAACGCCCACCAGAGATGCAAATGCCTTGGGAGACATTTGGGTTTGAGGAGGACAAAACTGACATGCAGGAGCCTCTCCAGGCTGAGAATCACATGGAGACCTCTCTCCCACCCCCAGCAAAGCAAGGGAGGGTGGGATGAACAACTTCATTCAAGATCAGGTGCAAAGATGCTGAGTGAAACACATTGGGAGCAAGGCAGTTATATATACACTGAACTTGCAGAGGGGTGTGTATATATAAGGAAACCAGCACGGTTTACTACTGACTCTCTTAATGCTGGGGGCACTTTTTCAGCCTTTTCCATTGCCTCAGATCTTTTTCCAAGCCCTCTCAGTGCATTTCAGCCTCCCCTCATGGTGATCTCCCTGTAATTCCTCAAGGGAACGATGATGAGTTGGAGCCACGTTTTAGAGCAGTTCAGTGGACAGCAAGAGAAAGGAGAATAAAAAGCAAACCTGGAAGGTGAAACAGTGAAATACCTGTGGTTGCCATGGCTGTCAAGGTCTGCCCACCTTGCCCATCAATTACCCCATGGAGCTGGACTGTGTAATTAGTGGCAGCTTTGAGGTTGGTCACTACAGAGTGCCGGGAGTCCCCCGGCACCGTGAGCACCAGGGAGTCCAAGGGGAAGTCAGAGTTCCTGACTTCCAGAATAAAATGCTCAAAGGCCTTGTCCTGTGCCTCCCAGGCGAGTGACAGGCTGTCTGAGGTAGCGTTTGGTACACTGAGTTTGCTAAGGAGAAGTTCCTGTACTACAGGAAGAAAAACAAATGGAAATGTATCACAGTTATTAAAAGCCAAAGCAATAAAATAAATTAATAGAGAAGTTTGAATTTACAGGTCACACGGGTCACCCAGCCTTGTGTTTCCATGTTTCCTTTACCCCTCCTGTCACCCTGACCCTGCCACCCATCATCAAATGAGGATATTCAGAGTCTGCTGCTGCTGGAAACTGATATTATATTATCTGATAGCTGAGATTTGATATTTTACTTTCACTGACCACATTACTCCATTCCTATGACAAATCACTATGGCAACTTTTCCTAGAGGGACAAAATTTGGTGGAGGTATTAAACAATCACAACATGAGCCATTATCTGCCTACAGATACATTGTTCTGTTTCTGTAGTCCAGTCCTCACTTCCCACTCTCATCCTGAACATTTGACTTCCCTGTCTTTTCTGCCAGCTGTAAAACCTTGAAATGTGCAACGTGCCAACAACTCAGCTCCTGCCTATTCCACTCTCTGACACCAACTCAAATGGACTTTTCAATCTTTCACAAAACACAACCTGAATAATTAAAGCTGAATTTCAGCAGTGAGCATGCCTTGCAGGATTGTGCTGGCACAGCCTGAAACGTGCCTGACATCTTTTGGGAGAATCAGGGTAAATCTGTGTCTAGAAATCAGCTTATCTGAGAGAAACTGCGTCTGCTCTGTGCTGTGGGACAGATGCACACGCAGGCTGGAAACTGAACGTAAGGAATCATCTCCTGCTTGGTTTTGGGGATATTTGCTTTGCTTCTCGTCTGCCTCAGAGGCTGCCCCAGCCCTAATGTTGGAATTCATTGTGTGAATGAGGTCCCAACACGATGTGATTGCCTGACTTTGCTGGGTGGGATGGTGGCTCAACATTCACAGCTCACAGTGTCCTCGGCTGGTCTTCCTCCCAAGGCGCAGAGGATTGGGAAATGGGTGGGCTGGTGGGGTGGCTGAGGGCAGGGGAGGGGCACAACCTGTAAGGAAGAGTTCAAAAAAGCGGAGTTAGAGCTGAGGTAGGTTTTGTGTACCTGTGGTAGCTGCAGCACTGATTGCCTGTGTGCGGAACCCGCCAGAGATCCCGGAGAGGTAGACAATGAAATCAGTGCTGGGAGAAAGCCCTGAGATATGAGCAGTCCTTGAGTCCCCTGAGAGATTGAACTCCATGGGCTCCAGCAACCTGTTAGAATCAATAATTTCAATGGTAAAGGCGTCAAAGTCCCCGTTGGAGGCTGTCCAGGAGAGGTTGAAGCTTTCGGGGGTAATGTCGGAGACCATTAGCTCAGCAACGCCGGGCTGCTCTTCTGGGGAGGGAAACAACAGCGGTCAGAAGGGCCCCCCGACCTCCTCCTGCTCTCAAAGGCTCCTCTCTGCCATGCTGGCAGCACTCCGAGCTGGGCAAGGGGGTGTGAGTAAAAGCTTGCTACAAGCAGACTACTGAGGGGAGGAAATCAAATGAAAGCATGGCAAAATGTTAGAGAAACGAAAAATGTTAAGGAAAAATAAATAAATTAAACTAACATTTAAAACTATGGTTATTTCCCTCTCCCTGCAGGAGCAGCCATGTCTTTGAGGTCTGAGCATGAAAGCAGATGCAAAAGGACTTTCTTGAATGCCCCTGGGGCATTTGGAAGAGATGGTTTCCAGTTTTAGGAGAAGCTAAAACCAAACTGTCACTTTATCCCAAGGAAAATCTTGTGTTTTGTTTACTCTTCTGCTTTCCCTTTCAGCTTAAGTCTGTGAAAGCTGGCTTGTAATTTTGGAGCTGGAGCCAAAATGCAAAACAGGCAGAGATGCCTTGGGGTTTCTTCCTCTCTGCAGACATCCCCACAGAGTTACAGGAAGGTTCAGATATTTCTAACAATTGGAAGTCCCCAGAAGGGAAGACTTTGAAAAGCTGGGTGCTGAGCTTGACCCAGAAAGGGAAGGGAAAACCTCAGCAGGGCATTTTCTGTTTTCATGAGGGTAAAGGAAGGGAGCACACTGCATATTTCGGCAGGACACCCATGATGTGTTTCCTGCTTTGTCTCTTTGTCTCCAGCACATTGCTCTGTTCTCCACAGGCATCTGCTCCCAGCTCCTGGTGAGGACTCTCAGAGCTCAGCACAGACACATTCCTGCCCAGGCCAGGCTGCTTCAAGCACTACAGAAACGCTGCACTCCTTGTTTCACTCTGCTCAGTTCTCACAGGTGCTTCCAGCCCTTTCTGAGCTGGGGGGAACCTGGCATGAGCCAGCTCTGGCTGTCTCACAGAGACAGGGGGCTGCAAAGGGCTGTAGGGGAGCCCAGAGGCAGCAGAAATCACCTATGAGAAATTATCTTGAGGAAAGGCCACTGGTGCCCCTTTAGTGCCAATTAATTCACACTGTTATCATAGCACCTGGGAGGATCAGACAGCCACACAGCAGAGATGCAAATATACATTTATCTCATGGTCAAAACCTGTGATAAGCTCTTATTTCAAACTGCTGCCTTTAGATGATCAGCCAGAAAATGATTTTGGGGCCCTTGATGAGTTTCATGCAAGCTCCTGATAGCAGAGCTCACCTGCCTCCTCCCAGGCCAGTTTTATGCCAGGGTAGTTCTGCTGGATTTGATCTTTTGAATTATGTCTTTTTCAGGCCAATCAGACTGTCCCATCATTTTAGATGGTTTAACGTATTTTATTAGTCTTGTTAGGAATAAATTTTTGTCCTTTAATTTGTGTATTTCCTATATGAGGACATACAGGACGTGTTTGTCCTTGCCCTGAGTAGGTACACACAACTTCACCACACTGAGAAATTCACACAGAAGCTACTGCAGAATTTCAGAGGCAGCTTCTGAAGGGTAAAAACTGAACACACTCTCAGGTTTTGATTAGGACAGATTTTTATAATTTTACCAGGCAACCTGGCCTTTCCCAAGCAGCTACAACATCCAGCTGGGGTTTTGCTGTTAGTGTCAGCCATGTAAGTGAGGAGAGGGAACAAAAACAAAGCTGCAGTGAGGTGGGGTAGGGACAAGCAGGCAGGGAAAGGCTGCACCAGGGCACTGAAGCTCTGGCTGGAAAGCCTGACCATGAGGGAATTCTGTGCCAGAGAAGTCCAGCCAAGCTTTAATGAGCTCTCCATGCAAGGCTGAGGCAGCAAGCAGGATTTGCCCAGCTCTCACAAGAGCTCCGATCCCTGTCAGAAAGAACCGGGGGCTGGAGGATAGAAAGGTACCTGTGGTGGTCTCAAGAGAAAGGGGCTTGGTCCTGTAGCCCCGAGCGACCCCCTGAAGGGTGATGGTGTAAGGAGTGTTGGCCTTGAGGCCGGTGACATTGGCAGAGCTCAGGCCCCCTGGCACTGTGATGTTCCTCCTCTCTTCGGGCTGCCCAGGCTCCTGCACCTGAATGACAAAGCTCTCATAGGCACCCTCAGCTGCTGTCCAGGTGAGCTGGAAACCATCCCAGCCAGTCTCTGCTACTGAAAATGCTCCCAGCTCGGGTTCCTCCTCTGGATAACAACAGAGAATCAATCTGTTACTTGGGTTGCAGAGTGGTGCTGATGTCGGATTTTTTAATGAGGTTCTGTGTTAATGAGGCTCACATAATAACCCCAGAACGACAGCTAACACCTTCTCCAGCACTCTCTGTGTGCTGTGCCTTAGGAGCTCTGAAAACAAAGCAAACAGAGAAGCTCTCCTGGTTTTTTGGAGTCTTAATCCAGGCCTGGAGCAAGGGGAGCATCAGCAGCACAGCCTGGTTCCCACAGAGCCACTGAACAGCAGGTCCAGAGCAGCAGACACAGGGATGAGATGGAACCCTTCCAGCATTCCTGGCACATCCTCAGCTGCTGGAAATCAGTTCTCTTTGGTTACAGAACTTTGCTCATTTACATCACATTGGAACCCTAAGCATCCCAACTCGCCTTTTGTCTTTCCTACACCCATCAGTGAATGCTCTTAGTACAAACCATGAGGGGAATTCGTGCCAAAAATCACAAACACATCCAAAGCCAGGCTGAGAAATCCTACCAAAAACAGGCTTGGAGGGGTTATCCATTGTGATACACGAAGAGAAAAGTGGAGGGGACACACATTCTTGCCTAAAAACGTGAGAGAAAGAACTTAAAAACCATTTCTTACAGAAGATCCCAAGGAGTGGAAAGGGGAAAGGCCAAGCTTTCAACATGCTGGATGATCTATGGATCTATCCTGCAGAACAGTCAGATTGTGGAAATCTGAGAGCTTCGGAGATCACAGGGAACGTGTTTGTGATCCCAGCCACAAGGCCCCAGGCAGGGATTTCTCTGACATGCGGAATTATCTCCTCATTAGTGGGAGCCCGCATCATTTCACACCTCGGTGACTTCCTTGCTTTCATGCTCCACTTGCATTCAATAAGAGAGAGCAAGTCATGGAGCACCATCCATCAGCTGGGCACAAATATGTACCCGGGATTCATTACATGTCTCCGAATTCACACTTACATCACAAAGAAATACATTTGCAGAGGAGCAAAATCTATTAGAAATGGTTTCAAAGAGATGCAGAAATGTTATCTTGTAAATAAGCTCTTAGGCCAAATACAGGTGCCTCCAGGAAGGAGAGAAGCCTGTAAGGCAAAGAACAATTCATATTTATTTATATTTATATTTATATTTATATTTATATTTATATTTATATTTATATTTATATTTATATTTATGTTTATGTTTATGTTTATGTTTATGTTTATGTTTATGTTTATGTTTTATATCTATATAATATATTAATCCATAATATATAATATATAATATATTACATATGATATATTACATATAATATATTATATATAATATATAATATATTACATATCATACATTACATTTTATATATATTATATATATTATATTATATTATATATTATATATTATAGATTATAGATTATAGATTATATATTATAGATTATAGATTAATATATTATATATTATATATTATATAGCCACACAAGGATTTGGTTACTCCAATCTGGATGGAAAATGCAGCAGCAGTTCAAGTACATTATAAAAAACCTGAGGGACCAATCACCTGTGGGAAATTTGAATCCAGAAATTTGCTGTATTCACAAGTGGATTTATTTTAATGTTCCAGCTTTGGAAGCTACATGGAGGTTGCCATGTACAGACATGGAACATAGGGATGGAGGTTGCCATGTACAGACATGGAACATAGGGAATGTAATTCTGAATATTACCTTGGAGTTAATTACTCCACAAATCATTTGTGGGTGAGAAAGAGTTGTTTCTACCACAGATATTAACACACATATATCCTACAATAAATTCGTGTGTTTCAGGGGAATTTGTGGCTTTGTGTACAAACAAACAGGAGACACAAAATGAAAATGATATGAATACATGGAAAATACTCTGATACCACAGACAGTGTTCTTTGTTTAGCAGGCAGAATGCTGTAACAGCTAATGGAAAACCTGGAAAACAATCAAACTGTAGAGTAACAAGAGCAGTGAAACTCAAACACTTGATTTAACAACAAGGGGAATAGATGGGCAGGGAAAAAAGAGAGCTCTGGGAGCTTTAGGTGGGTGGGTGACAGCCAGAGAATGATTCACAGTGCTGAGATGAATGAACAGAGATTAAAGATGTGTAAAAGGGAAACTGGATGGATAATAAACACACACTCCTTCCCAGGCTGGGATACTTCTTACTGTCAGCTTAGGAAATAGCTCCATATCTCTTGGTACAGGCTGGGCCTGGCCTGAATGTGTCTGTGGTGTGGTGTTGGCCTTTTGAGGAATTCCACTGGAATGTTTCTCTGGTGATTTTACTAAAAAGGATGCTCATGTGCTGCCAGGACATTTCCCTGACCTCTTGGGATAGAGTATTCTGTATTCATAT